CTCAGAGAAATACTTGACTTCAAAATAAAGAATTTCAATGAAAAGAGAAAGCATCTGCAATGAAAAGACACGACACGAAGAAGGCTAACGGAAGAGCAGGTAAGCGGGGACAGCAGATAAGGAATGAGAAGCCGTGGCCAGCACTTTGCAGTGAGAGAGCTGTCTCTGAAGTTGCTGCTATCATCTAAAGCATCTTCGTTTATAAAGTTCAAAAAGCAAGTACTTTTAAAGCAGAAGAAACGCTAATAAAACAGCTTTTTTGGTTGTTTTTCAACAACGTCTTCATAAATCTGAAGGAAATAAAATGCTGGCGTGAGCTAGTATCTTACTATTAACAAAGTTTATATTTCCTCTGGAAAAGACAGCAAGTCGGCCAGGATAATGAAGAAAATGCTCAAAGCAGTCCTGACGTGCATATTTATTTTGTAATGTATTATTCAAGTCCATCAGTACAGTAAGAAATAGCTTTCCTTCAAGCGCCACTCCAAAGGCAGGCCGCAGGGATGGCTCCACTGCAAGCTCATTATCTCTTCAGCACAGAAAACAGTGCTCCCTCCAAACAATGAGAAGCACCCAGACTAGAGGCACAACATGATTTACATGAAAAGCAGAGTAAACATCTACCATCTGAATTTTTAAGTGAGACAGAGGGAAGACAAGCAATTACTATCATGACGAGCACGTACAAGTCAATAATGACAACAGGCAGACGTGGCCTATGCGTTTTGAGCAGTCTTATCGTCGCCTCTCTGCAAAATCAACCAGGGGCACTGGAGTCTGGCCCCAAACACACAGAGCAGACACACTTTGCAAACACTTGGAAACACTTATAAAAACTGACCTCAGACTAGGCCACAAGGAAAGGCTTAATTCCAAGTAATAGATATCATACAGACCATATTCTTTGAACATGAAATTAGAACTTGTCCACAAAAAGACTTTCGAAAAATCCTTATGTTTCAAAACTAAAGAACAGGATCCTCAGGAATTTTGAATATTAATATTTAATAAATTCAAATAAAGCATGCTTAAAGAAAAATGTATGGCCTTAGGGCGCCTGGGTGGCTCAGTCAATTGAGCATCTGACTTTTGATTTCAGCTCAGCTCATGACCTCAGGGTCATGGGATCGAGACCTGTGTCGGGCTCCACTCAGCATGGAGTCAGCTTGGATTCTCTCTCTCTCTCCCTCCCTCCCTCCCTCCCTCTGCTCCTCCCCCTTGCTCAAGTGCATTCTCTCTAAAATTAATTTTAAAATTTTAAAAGAAATGAATAGCCCTAAGCATATTCATTTCAAATGGCAAAGACTAAAAATAAATGAACTAAGTATTTTACACAAGAGACGAAAAACGTAAATAACCAAAGAAATTAAAAGGAAAAAGGAAAAAAAAAGAAATTAAAAGGAAAAATAAAGAAGAGGAGAAATCAATGAAATGAAAACAGAAGTGAGTATCTGTAAAACCAGAAGCTGAGTCTTTGCTAGAGGGTGCATATTTCAATAGTTTCTTTTTTTTTTTTTTCAATAGTTTCTTTAAAGTCTCATCAAAGAAAAAAAAGACAAAATTTTTGGAAGAAAAAGAAAACTATAGATATATTTTTTAAATCATAAAAGCATAGTTGAAACATCCTTATGCCATGACTTTGTAAAACATGAACAAAACAGTTCCCTGGAGAAAGGCTGGGGAGGGCACGGCCCGGACATTGGTTTCTGCTCCCCCTCCCACAGCCAAGCTTCCTGCCCCGTGTGCAGCCCACATGTGGGAGATGTGCCGCTTCCAGAAACCCTCGGCCCCCAGCCAGGCAGCCAGCTTCCTCTGCTCACCCACATGCCTTGCAAATATCATTTTCTGCACATGCCAGGCAGCGAGAAAATTTGGCAAACTCTAGTCTGTGTGGAACCCAATTGTTACCTAAGCAAACCGATGCCTGGAGTAAGGATTTCACTTCACCGTCCCTTATTGGCAAAGATCTGGCCAGTATCACCTAAGTGGAAGTAGTACGTACAACTTCCGAGAAATAGTCTAGAAGAAAAGAGGCATGTTCCTCTCCTTCTCTTCTTCCCCTTCCCTCCTTCCTGCTGGATGGACCTGGACAGCCTCCTTGGACCGCGAGGCGCCCTAAGGCACAGGGTCACACATGGGCCACAGCCACCTGCAGACTCTGAGTTGTGAGCTAAAGCACCTACCACCTCATTTAAGCCACTAATGCTGTAGATCTCTCAATTCCAAAAGAAATAGAAAAACGGAATATACCCACTCAGGAAACTGACTTGTAAAGCAAAGAGAAAGGATTAGGTCAAATGATCAGAAAAGCTAGTAACACGGAGACTTCAATACTAAGAAAAGAGCCAAGAGAAGGAATCAGCAGTCACGACCGAATCATAATCAGCCATTAAGGAAATGCATATTAAAAACACAAAGAATGTGACCGTTCCAAGCACTGATGCGGACAGGAAAAAAACAGAACTCTCACAGGCCGTGGTGAAAACATAGTGGTACAACCACTTTGGAAAACACTGGGCAGTTTCTTAGAAAGGTCAATATTCGCTGACTATGTGAGCCAGCGGTCTTGCTCCTCGGTATTTACCCAAAGGAATGAAAGTGTTTGTCCACGTGGAACTCGTACGTGAATGTTCTCCACAGCTTTACCTGCAAGAGACCCAAACTAGAGATGACCCAAACACTCATGACCTGACAGATGGATACACACACTGTGGTGCATCCAGACAGTGCACTACCCAGCAATAAAAAGAAACGAACTGTTGATGCCTGCTGAAAAACAGACAGATCTCAAAATAATTGAGAAAGAAGCCAGGCCAAGCAGGAACACATGCCCTCTGACTCCGCTCAACTGCAATTCTGGGAAACACCCACCACAGTGGCCAAATGCAGAGGAGCAGCTGCTGGGCCCTGGCGGGAGGTGGCTGGGAGGGACCCCACAGGCCGCAGGGCATGGGCCATGGAGGGGTGGGGTGGGGAGGGGGATGCACAAGTTGACCATGCTGCCTGTGGACGGTGCACACGTGGAAGACTCTTGTTCCACTGGGACAGTACCTGGGGACAGCCACTTGGAGGACTAATTTGGCAGTACCTGGTGAAATCGAAGCTCTGTACGTGCTCTGGCACAGCAATTCTGAGCGTGGACACAGACTCTAAAGCAGGATCGCAAAGTCCAGCCCCAGGCTGGGTCCCGTTGTTGTGAATAAAGCTTTACTGGAACACAGCCACACACATGGTTTACTGCTGTCTACACCAGGGCTGCTTTCAGGCTACATCAGCAGAGCTGAGAAGCTGCAACAGACTGTACGCGGCTCATCAGCCTAAAATATTTACTATCTGGCCCTTCTCAGAAAATGTTTGCCGACTGGTGCTCCGAGAGACACTGGCATCTGCAGGCCAGGAGACACATGAAAGGAGTTCGTCAGAGTTTATAACTGTGGAAGGCTGACGAAACCTATGTCCACCATTAAAGGAATTAACGAACAAATACTGGAATACCAGTCATCAATTAAGATGACTGAACTAGACCCCCAGGTATCCACACAGGGAAGGTCTCAGAACATAATGGTGCCCAAAGAAAGCGATCTGCGTCACATGCCAGCAACAGGGCAGCACTGAAAACTCACCCGAGCAGAGGCAGCTGCGTTTAAAGTATGGCTCACACCAAGTTCGTCCCTGTGGCTGCCCTGGGGACAGTGGGGTTGGGGCAGAGGCAGAAAGGACATCAACTTTTCCTGTACGTTTTAATTGCTTTTATTTTAAAACTCTAAGCTGTTTTCAGAAGACCAATCAGTGAAATTCAAATCTGATGTTTATGAGCGTACTACGGAAAACAGAGCAGGGCAGCCTCCTTGTTCCCTGTCTGCAATACACATCACCCCGACTCTGAAGCACTTACTAGCTGTACTTTTCTAAAGCAGCAAATGTTCACCACTCAAGGACATTTTTCCCTTTTATCTTCTAAAGTCAAAGTATGTACTCTGAAATTTACTCTTCAGACGAAAGCCTAAAGCACAGACCTTGTGTGCATCGCATAGCAAACAGGGCTATAAAATTTAAACCAACTGAAGCTTCAAAGGTTGCCTACATTAACAGCCTGGAGGGACACACTCATGGTTTCCGACTGGGTCCCAGGAACACTGCCAGGGACACCAGGACAGCCCCTCGGGCCTGTGAAAAGGCCTATGACATGAAAATTTCACAGCACAGACAATGGACCACAGAAAGACCATTCTCCTCCCAGAGGAGCCAACGGTGGTGCCGTGGAGTAGAGCCCCAGGGAGCACTCTTCTCCTGGGACTGTTCCGGGGCCCCCCCTGAGGTGGCTCTCAACTGCAGAGTCCCCTCCCTGCTCAACTACTGTCCCCTCCCCTCCCCAAGCCACATCTTCATTACAAACCCGGACATCTGAGGCAGAATTATCTGTGCGTGTGTGTAAAACTTCCTGGAATTGTTGGCTGCTGCTGCAACTATCCAAGAAACATCTTTCTGTTACAAAACCAGTAAGGGAAGATATATTCTTATTTTTTAAAGTGACTATAACAGAAACGTAGCTGTGACATTTGAGGCCTACAATGTGGCTGGCAAGTATTCGCCCCAGGGTCATATGCTCAGGGGCGGTGGCTGGCCAGGAGCTGTGGGTCCCAACAAACAACATCCCACAGCTGCAAGAAAGACGGCTGGCAGGCCAGGGATAAGCAGCACCTGGATTTAAAAGCCAGACTTGAAAACTCCCTGGTCTCTTAGTGTGGAGGCAGCCAGGGCCAGGCGGCCAGCCTCCCGACTCTGCAAGCAGGGAGAGGGACTGGACGAGGCTGGAAGGGGACAGCCACGGGATCAGAGCAGAACAGGCCCTTGGCCTTGACTCCTGAGCCCCCACCCAGGAGACGCTGGAGGAGTCCAGAATTTTCTATCCTCCCAACCAAGGAGGAGGTGGAGCGGGGAGCTTTAAAGTGTGTCAGCGGACTCTGCTGATGAGCACATTTGCAGGCATCACTCCTTACCTTCTCTCCAGGTCTGGGTGACCGCTGTAACTTCTCATAATCTTTCTTGGTCTCCAGAATTTTTTTCACAAGTCCTCCTGTTGAGAATCAGTGATTTTATGTTATTCTCTAAAGAGCTCTTCTATTCTAAATGGGTAGAGGGGTGGCAAGAACACTAGTTTCTTGTTTTTCCTCTTTCTATATTCTACACAGCTTCAAATCATCTTTATTTGCTTGGAGTCTACATTGGTCTAATACAGCTGGTGGGAGAAATTAACTATAAAACTTCAGAGTGTTTCAAAGAAATCAGCTCCTCAAAGGTTAAAAAAAAAAAATTGGAAACAGAAAAGAATTATGAGGACACGCAGATGGACATTCAAACATATAGCCACCTTGTCACAAACAGGTGCGCCAACTCTGAGCTGTTTCTAAGCACAAATACTCCTTTTATATTAGTTCAAGAGCCTTCAACTTCCTTTTAAAAAAAAAAATTTTGCCCATGGGGGTAAATATCATACAAAACATTTTCTTTAGAATACTGTCTCATGCAAATGCACATCCATATGAAATTGGCTGCATACGCCCTGAAGCACCCGGATGGCAGAGGAGGGCTCAGCTGTGAGCAGCAGTGAGGATGACTTGTCTGCGCTGCTCGGGGACGAACGCCAACACACGACGCCAAGTCACAACAGCAAGACAGAGACACGCAGATACTGCTAAATGCACACACACACTCCACGCACATGTACTAACTTACAGTTTTTTAAATCAAAGTATAAGCCATATTTCTTACCATTACCTACAGGGAGAGGGCAGGTGGAGGCCCCAATTTCAGAACATACATTGTTTGGTACATTTCACCTCGGAAATGTATTATTTTACATAAATAAAATCAGATTTTTCAATGCCTAAAAACTGAAACCAAAATGAAACTAATACACCTAATAATATCAAACTGGCAAGCACAGCCTAACAAAGAATTGCTTTGTAACTTTGCAACAGAGTGGTTGGCTGTCCATCCCTGATGGGACATAACCTGAGAACAGACAGACCTGACCTCCCAAGAAACACCCGATAGTGTTTTCAGTAATTGTTGTTGCTAGTGACCGGTGGTGGTAGTCTAAAGACGCCATGCATGCCATAGGGTAAGGCAAACAGATGGCAACGTTGGGAGCCAGGATTTGGGGCATGAGATAGACACGTACATATAAAATAAAAAATTTAGGAAAGACTCTAGTAAAGCTGCGATGGAAATACCAGTATGAACTTGGATATATTTTCTCATTAAAAAAAAAAAAAAAGGCAAGAAAACCCCTGGAAACAATGACCAACCCAGAAGCAACATGCAGCCAGGCTCCTTGGGGGAAATGGAGGGTTCCAGTTATGGGGCAGGAAATACACGAAATGAGCCTGAAACATCTGGTCGTCTCAGAAAACAAGGAAGCTGCAAAGTCTCCTGGGATGTGTCAAAAGCCCCCAAAAACCGCTCAAACAGGCTCCCTCAGTTACATATCGGACAATCTGAACATCAGTGAGAAAGGATTTGGCTTGAAGTGAGGCACATCAAATGTGCTAAAGGAAAACCCAGGACTTCATACAGGTAGGAGAGGGATCCACAGCCATCACCCCACAAGCCCTCTCTAGTCAGCTTGGACAATGCCAGGACACAAACTCACTGGGAGGAAAACCCTCTCCCTAGGGGCTGCGCTTTGGGGCAGAGGTGGGGGAGGAAGCTCTGCACCACAGTGTCCTCCAGCTAAACCTCAAGGAAGGGAGGGTAGGACGAGAATGTCACCCTTAATGATCCAGGCTAACGTCACGAGCAGACGTCAGGAAGAACCAACACCACTGACCAGCATTCCTGCCCCAAACCTGCATCTCTTCAAGTCTCCTGAACCAAGTTACAAGAATGGAAGAACACGTGAAAAACCTTATCACGGGCATGTAATAAGCGACAGTCAACTGCGGGAAACTCTGAAGGACAACCAGCCAGCTTCGTCAACAAATATGTTACAAGGGAAAGGCAGAGGGACAGGGACAGACAGGCTGAGAGGCTAAGAGATCAACTCCAATGCAGTGACCTTATCTGGATTCTGACTCAAACCAGAAAAAAAAAAAAAATCATAAAACTGGAAAAACTGTGATGATATTAGGGAATTGTTTTGTTTTTTAATATACCACACAGAATTGTGGTTATGTTTTGGAGAACCCTTATCTTTTAGAGATACACGTGACAAGTTAACCAAAGAAAACGGTCTTCTCTAGAACTTGAGAACAGTTAGGGGAACAGGGGTCTGCAGCAGGAGGAGGCTTAGAGAAAACATGAGCCCATCACTGCTGAAGCCGTGACCTGTAATGGGGTTCGTCAGACTACTCCCTGCTTCTGCAAATGTTTGAAATCAAAGAAGATCCTTGGGAAGGGAACAAGTAATGCCACAAATATTGTCAATTTGGGAATGACCCTAGAGGTCTAACCTCTAATGTAACTGCACACCACGTCAGAGGCTGCTAACAGCGAGCTCCTGGGTCCCGGCACCCAGCACCCATTGTCTCCCGGACCAAAAGCCACCAAGCGAGAAGGCGCCCACCCATGCCGCAGTGACCTGCTCGTGCTCTTTAGACCTGACCAACACCTTCCGCACCACACAGGCCCAGCACTCACCGTGCTTCTCCTCGTCCTCTACGTCCACCGCGGGCACCTGGACAGGAGAGCAAGGAGGAAAAAGCTGATTCTTGAAATCCTGTTTCCATAGGGTCTCCTCAAAGCAATGACAAAATTAAGGCAGGCAGAAATCTAACTGAAAAATCAGAGGCACGTTTTGTCTCCATCAACCTAAACGCTGGCATATGAGCTCCAGTGTCATCCAAGTGCAATGACAAAAACCAACACTCGCATTGCCTCACCATTTCAAGTTCTGACATCTCAGGGAGCTGGGGGGCAGCCTCCACCACAAACTGATCATCTTCCTCATTGTCAGAGTTCTGCGTGTCCACAATCACACTGGCGACGATTTTACCACTCCCTGTCCTAAAGAGAGGAGTGCTGTTAGTCGCACATCTGCATCAACCCCATGCATCCCGGGCCCCATGAGAGGAGTTTAGCCACCACCTACCTCTAGAACATCACAAAATATGGGGGGAAGCTGAGTGAAGGCCAGCAGGCCTGCGTCCTAGTGCGTCCTGCCCTCTGTGCTGCCCGCCCTCCTCCCTCTGCCCCTCCCCTGGCTGCACTCTCTGGACACCAGCTCCACCTGCAGCCCCTCACCTGGAGGGCCCTATTCTTCCGAGTGGCAAACACTGGGGCAGGGTGGCGATGTGGCCCCAGACAGCGGCCTCCTCCTGGCCACCACTCCCTGCCTAGCACCTCCTCTCCACCAAGTCCTACCCCTCCCACTACCTACTGTGTCAGTGCTTGGCTTCCCTCGGCAACACAACCTGAGTCCACGTCCATACCCGTCTCCAATTCCTGCCTCCTGCTCTATCTGAAACCACTCTGGTCAAGTGTGGTTTGTCTATTTTTTTGTTTTGATTTTTCATACTTCCCTCTAAAGATCACACTTCACCCACAGGTACACCTGTAACACTCAGAGAACCCTGTCTGTGGCCTGCTTTTATATCGTTTATGACTTTCTGACCTTTCGTTTTACAAGGTTGTGCAATTTAGCCTTAAATATTTGTTTTCCTTTTTTCCCCTCATTGTTTTTAGTTTAGAAACCACCACCCCCCCACCTCCTCTCAAAGAATAATTTCCCCACGTGCTGTAAAGCTTTAGCTCCATGTGCATGGGCACGTTCTTCTCTTCAGCTAACTGAAGTATGTGGTTGTTGTTTGGCCTGGGTCAGGGCCTGACCCGGCTTCCCTCCCCCCGTCAGCTGGCAGTGGCACTGCCTCTGGCCCCCCACACCTGCCCCTACACCCTACACCCAGCACAGCCTCCCAAAGAGGCCTCACCTGTCAGGCGTCAGAGCTTCCACGCTGTCTTGGCGCTTCACCCGGGGAGGTGCTGGTCTCGCACTCCCGGGCCGAGGTATTCTTCTAAACCCAAATATGGAAAAACCAAAAAGAGGATATGACACTTTTGCACATTTCAAAGAGGATAACAGAAAACCCAGGTCAATGATACCACTAACTTCCCGCCAGCCATCGACATGCTAGTCAGGACACAGTCTGCAGAATGTTAAGAACATCCCACTAATGTGAAAGTTTAAAAGTATCCATCTTTTAGGGCACCTGGGTGGCTCAGTGATGGAGCGTCTGCCTTTAGCTCAGGTTGTAATCCCAGGGTCCTGGGATTGAGTCCTGCATCAGGATCCCCATGGGGAACCTCCCTCTCCCTCTGTGTCTCTGTCTTTCTCTCTGTCCCTCATGAATAAATAAAATCTTTAAAAAAGAAAGTATCCATCTTTTAATCTTATGTTTTCATTAATTTTAAGGCCCAGAAAGTAATTATGTAAATCTTGGTAATCAAAACATAATTTACCATAATTACGAATTTCCCTAAATCTTTAAACTGGCCTATGTGTAGTAACTTGTACCCAGTATAGGAAAACTAAATAAATGGTACCAGCAATCCCTCATAATTAAGCTCAAGCACTGTTTACAAACCGCAGAAGGTGCAGAGAGAAGCATGGGGTGGGGTGGGGGTGGGGGTAGGGGTGGGGGTGGGTGGCTGCCTGGGTGCTGGATTAGAGCCAGCACACCTGATGTTGGCTGGGAGCTCGCTCGGCAGCTCAGAACTCTCTGACACCTCAGACTTCTCCGGGCCAGGAGGTCCAACTTCTCCTTCTGAACCATGACAATCCAGTCAGCAATTCACAAAGGAAGAAACACAAACAGGTAATAAGTGTTTGAAAGGACAGCACTCAAATGATCGCAAATAAAAACGAGCTTTATTCATCTATCATTTTCATGAAGTTAAAGCAGACATTTCATATCTAGATTTGGTGAAGATCTGGGGAGATGGGTGCACTCAAACCCCGGAAAACACACTGGTTCAATTTCTTAGGAAAGAAAATTCAAAAGGTAGGTTGATCCAGTCAAGGAATTTAACTTAAGGGAGATACAACCTGAGAGGGATGGACACGTGTGATCCTACGACCGGCCACCTTTTGTATTAGCGGCGGATGCTGGGCCACCCCAGCAAACCGTGGCAGTCCCTCGCCAGACCCACCGTTCTAACACATAACCGAGTGCAGTAACGGGTCTAGTAACGCACACAACGGGGGCTCTGGAAGGACTTTCATTTATGTTAGAAGCAGTGCTTTTCTTTCCTACTTCCTATTTTTCTGCACTTAAAAACTGTGCTACTTTGGGTATGTGCCAAATTATTTTTATGATCTGAATTCGGCTTTCTTCATTTTAAAAAAATGACTTAATCAGTAAGTGCAAACCCTAACTATTAAAGCAATCCAATTTGCTCCCCCATTTTCAGTAAAAGGGCTTTGTATTTTAGAAAACAGAATAAATCGGACTTTGAATTTAGGAATAAATTTTTTACTCTGGAAATAATCGTGAAATACATTCTCCTGGAGCATAAGACAAGTAAATTAAATCTTAAAGTGGTATAGTTATGTTTCCTTAAATTACTTTCACTGTGTATAACAAATCTGGGAGTACATGTTGGTATCTACACACACACGATCTATACCAATACACTCAGTTCAGGCCGTTGCTCACCTGCATCACTAGGGGAGTCTCCTATTAAAAAAAAAAAAAGCAGCACATGAGAAAACCGACTTTTGTGTTGGTAAAGCTCAGTGTATTAGCTAGCAGGACCAGGGGAAAACACACACTGAGCAATGTGGCCATCTGCCAGGGACACGGCCCCGTCCCCACAGCCGTGCCCACTGTCCCACTGCCATCACTTTATTTTCAAAGATCGAAAGACAAAGAACCAAGAAAACCGTGAATTTTAAAATGCTATTAATGAAAGGAGGCAACAGGGGTATGAGGAGAGCAGAGCAGATCACAGACAAAAGAGAGAGATCAGAGATCAAGCAACAGCAGATACACAGGGGAGCACGGGTCACGACGGGGTGACCACAACCAGGGCCTTCCGTCCCTGGCTCATCAGCAAAGGTCCTTCCATCAGCCCCTGAATAAGAGGACATCTCTCCAGCTCCCCACGGACCTACCTTCTTCTTGAAAGGCTCCTTTTGGGGGACAAATGGGACCTACGTGGCCACAAGAAAGTGAGCACAGGAGGGAGAGGGGGACTCAAAGTCACAAGAGGATACTGTCCGTGTGACCCACTTAAAATACATGACCACATCTGCAGAAGCGCCAACACTGCTCGGGTCCGGGTCAGAGCCAAGGACACCCCAGGAGAGCCCCCCCGACTGCAGCCCCACCTCCACACAGGAAGCTTTCACACGCACAAGGGCCAGGCCCGGGGTCACCCTGAGGACACACATGCCCACGCAGGAGGAGTGTGCTCCCCAGACACCTCTGTCTGTCTGCTGAGGCAGACTTCAGAGCTCTGTCACTGGTCAAAGTGACCTATAGAAGGTGGCTCTGGGGACAAGGGGGGCCAGGCATATGGGGCAACGGGAACCACAGGCCCTACAGGACCTACACGTATGGAACACAGGAGCCTCCCAGAGTCCAGTGCTCACAGGGCCTGAGGAAGCGTGTGTGGTGCTTAGGAGGGGCCCAGGAATCACGTTTCCAGACCGTGCCCCTAGAAGGACAGGGTGACAGCAATGGGGGACTCGGCTCGGGCTCCTCCCTGGGACGGGGCTGCACCGGGGCCAGAGCAGGTAGCCGCAGACCCTCTCCTCGACACCACGCCACCTGGACTGCACTTGGAAGAGCCCAGCACGTGACAGTCACTGTGCAGCCGGGGGCCCTAGACTCCAGACCCCCGAGCGCTCTTCAAATCTCACACCATTGGTGTTGGGGACAGACTGGGGGGTCACATGCAGCTGCTGGATCTCAGGGCCGCTACCCAGGCAGAGACTGCGCACAGCAGCTTCCCCCTTCACAGACGGGGCCCCTCTCCCCTCGGCCAGGGCTCCTGCCTCACGGAGCCTCGGGTCTTCCCTGGACCCTTCAGCAGCTCGGCCTCTTTCCCAAAGAGGCGCACAGGCCCTCTCTCCCTGGCCCCGGCGGCCACACTCCCGGCCGCTCCCCCGCCGTCCCTGGCGCACCCGGAGCCCGCCCGTGCCCCCACCGCCCACTGCAGCGCGGGCCGCTCTCCGGGACGGCTCCGCAAGCCTCCCGAGCTCGCGTGACCTCCACGGGCTGGCACGGCTCGAGCTGGCCCCGCGCCCGGCTCCCCCCACCCGGGGCCTAGGCCCCTCCAGGCTGGCTCTGCTCGCCGGGGCACCCACGGCCCCGCCAGCCCCCCCCCCCCCGGCCGCCACCCTGCGGCCCCAGGTCGTTCGCGGCCCGTTTAGATGCTGGGAAAGATCACGCCAGAGGCAGACTCTTCACGGAGGCCCAACTTAACACACCCAGAGAACATTGGACAGAAGCACCAGGTCAGGAGGTGCTTCGAGCGGCGCCCGGTCCTCTTCGACGCGACGCGGGCGGCGGCGGCCCGGCCCGGGACTCCCCGCAGCGAGCGTCAGCTCCGAGGCTCGCTCGCAGTCATTCCGACACTGGGCCCGCCGCGTCCCCTGGGAGAGCGCGCGGGGGACCCGGGAGAGGCCGGTGCCCCCACGCGAGGCCCAGCGTGCCCTGCCCGAGCGGTCCTCCAGGCCCCGGGGGGCCCGGGGAGCCCCCGCAGGTCGCACACCTGCAGGTGCTCGGAGTCGCCGCCAGGGCGGGAGGGCGGGAGGGCGTCCTCCTTACCTTTCTGCTTCGCTGCTGGCTCTGGCTCAACGCTCTGGCGCCACAGACTAGCTGAAGTGTCATCTGAAACACCAGCTGCGTAAGTACTAGCTTCCTTGGTTCCTGACATGAAACAGTTCAGAAGGAGCCATCACGACGTGCCCCGTCCTCTGCGGCTTCATTAACTGAGAGCACCTCGTCGTCGCTCATCGGTGCCTCCCCACACCCGCACCGCGGCTGCCGCGGCTTCCGGAGCGACCAAAGGCAGCTTTGGGGAACTTACACCAAGAATGTAAGCGATCGGGAGAGGGACGAGGCCCGCTCAGCCCAGGAGGAGGCTGCGGCCCCCACGGCCACAGCAAACTGGCCCCTCCACCCCCATTTCCAGAACCTTCCTGACACTATGTGTCTCCACCCGCCTCCCCCCTACAGCCAGGCCCGGCTGAGAAGCTGCAGATAGGTGGCAATTTCAGCAAAGCATAATGAAAAGAAAAATACTTCTGGCATAGTCCACAGTCCTAGACATACAGAAAGCTTCCAAACCCTGGTGGAGCTACTGACCAATGTGCCAATGTCTATAAAAATAGAAAAAAAATATCAAATACCTAAGAAATAAAACATTTTTATATTAAAAATAAAAGGGGGCAGGGAGGTGTGGTAGGAACAGATTATTAATGTGGCAGGACCCAGGTAGAAAACTAACCCATCACTAAAGGACCCCCACTCTCTAAAATGAAACGAGGCAAAAATAAACTTAGAAAAATGTTCTCTTCCCTGAAACACAATCTTAAAATTTCTTAAAAGTATTCAAATAGTTTATTTCAGAATCAGCCTTCAATTAACTGATCAAAGAACTGATTCCATGTAAAGAACTACATACAGCAGATGACATAATTTTCTAAGGAATTTTTTTTCAACCTACAAAAATGGTAATTTAAACAGTCTGATTCAAGTAATTATTCACAATCTATAAGGTAGCCAAAGAATCAATATGAAATACTAAATTCTAAAACAAATTCAAAAATAAACATAGGCCAGGCAGCTATAGATCGATTTTAAAAGAAAGTACACAAGAATTTTAGATTATTACATTTATTTCAAAGTGTCAAAAATTTCCTACACTGTTCAAAACGCACAAGCACAATAAGTAACTTCCAAATGCAGCACCTTCTGTCCAAAGCTCAAGGGGACCCTGCACCACTTCATCTCTTCAAAAGCCTAGTGGCATTCTTTTTTCTTTCCTTTTTTTTTTTTTTTTTTTTGAGACGCCTATGATAGTTCCTCTAACACATCTTTCCTAATATTCTTAAGCAAATTTTACTGCAACTCTGATATACACAGAGAAACACAGTAATAACACCACAATCAATTCTTAATCACAGAGGGCAGATGACCTAGTCTGCCAAATAACAGCTTTAAAAATAACAAATAATGTACCTATCATAAATAAAAATTATTATGAACTGGCCAAAAATCTGTTGTCTGAATTACTGGCAATGAATGAACGTCGAAGGTAAAGATGTGGGCCTTGGTGTCCTGATTTCCTAAGTTCCAGTGCCCCCAAGCACCGTATCTTGAGGAAGCTCCTGGCCTCTTCTGAGCCAGTTTGCCCCAACTTACGGCACTTGGGTAACGAGACTGTGGTCCACAGAGCAGGGGGTGCTGTGCCAGGCCAAGTCCCCATCTGTTACCATCCCTGACACTCATCAGAGGTACAGCCCACAACGCAGCTGCAAGAAGCTTCCCGCTACGCCAGAGTTCTGTAGAAAGTTTAGCGGCACAGAGTTGCCGGTTACATCCAAGCATAAATGTGACCAAATAACCAGGGTTTAAGAGGAGGGGCCCTGCCTGGTCCAGTGTCAGTCTTAGCATCCCGTCATGGGATGCAGAGGCACTACGTGCATCCACATAGGACACAAGATAAAGGCACAAGTTCACTACACACAGGTCAGATGCGAAGCAAGATGTTTGACCCAAAGCTAATGAGGCCTTTAGATCAAACAGAATATTGGGGGACGGGGGTGGAGGGAAGGAATGTCACAAGTTAAGTGACACCACAAGGAAATGAGACAAATCCAGAGGGTGGAACATTGTGCAGGACAAGCAACCTCCTCTCTTCCAAAGCCAGTGTGCTGGACTAAAAGGGCAAGGCAGGGGCGCAAGGCGGAGGAGCTGTTATTTGAGATTCGAATCATTTAAAGATACAAAAAGATTAAAAAATATATAGTGTGTTCATCTCAATGGAATCCTGGTTTTTTTTTTTAAAAGAATAACACTTTGAGACACTAAGAATACAGCCTGGGGACCAGTACTCCTGCTAGATACAACAATAACGTTGTGGCTGTGTCTAAGCATGTCTTTCTTGTTTTTTGGTTTTTTTTTTTGTTTTTTTTTTTTAACTTTTTGAGCTGCATGCTGAAGTATTTAAAGTGTTAGGATGTTTTTAATATACTTTGAAATCATTCATAAAAATACATTGCTGTAGATGAGGCACATTATTATAACCATGGAATCTGTGTGAGAGGTAGAAAGCTGTTCATTCTTCCTACTTCTCTACGTTTTTCGTAATAAAAAAACTTCACACAATAAACTGAAATGACATGAGTGATGGAGCCCAAGCAAGCCGGAGACACAGGGATGGCACATGTTCCAGGAGAACCTGGGCTGTCAAACAACTATAACCACGAGGAGGCTCATGCAGTGGGCATTTCGACATGCAGCAGGGAGGAACCGGTTTGTGCTTGAGAAAAAAATGGATAATCTCCTTATTGAGTTCTTCAGTGAGCCCGAAAGAGCAAAATGGTAGAGCAAAGTGGATGAACGCTCCATGACACGCCTGCAAAGCGGGCAGGGGCAGGCCAGGGCCCGGGGCCACCGCCACAGCAGGTGTGGCTTACGTGCAGCAGCTCACAGTGAAGGGCAGTCGCGAGGGAAGGCTCACTGACCAGACCCAGCAGCACTGCATCTGGAAATCACACTCCGGTGAGATGAGAAAACCAGCAGCTATGACAACTGCTGACAAACCCTGAATCCCAAAAGTCAAAGGACTGGCAACGCAAGATGACATCTGTGACTGGCGTGATGGTGAAGACGGGGACCCAGGGCACATGCAGCAGCAGGTTTCAAGGGGAGGAGGGTCGGGGGACGGGACCACCCAGGGACAGGGAGCAGGACTCCACTCTTGGCCACCAGGTGGCACTAGGCTCCGTTCTAACGTCTGCAAAGCTCTCAACTGAGAACCACCTGCCCCTTGCAGGCTTCCCCGCAGCCTGAACACTGAGCCCTACGCAGGATCTACAGAGTGAGGATACGTGTCTGAATGACTCTATTTATTTTAAATCCATGTTACCATCTCAGGATGAGATGCCTCTCACCACGACTTGGGGCTCGCAGTCACTGAAGTGGTATCCATAAAGCAGAGCCAACAGGGCACTCATGTCACAAGCTGGCCCCTGACGGACAGATCTCACTGAGTCTCAAGGCAGGTATTTTCAGACCCAATTACCTGTGGGGTACCTGTGGCTCTTGGAACGTACCCATGAAGCTTGCTCAAGGCCGAGAGGTAGGCAAGTGGCAGGAACGGGCCTTCCTGCTGGGCTGGGAGGTGGGCACAACCAGGCCCATCTCCTGCCCCTCTGCGGCCCCTCTCCAGCCCCTCTGCGGCCCCTCCCCTGGTCCTCTGTGGCCCCTCTGTGGCCCCTCTGTAGTCCCTCTGCGGCCCCTCTCCTGCCCCTCTGCAGCCCCTCTCCTGCCCCTCTGCGGCCCCTCTCCTGCTCCTCTGTGGCCCCTCTCCTGCCCCTCTGCGGCCCCTCTCCAGCCCCTCTCCTGCAGTACAGGGACTGCCTGGTGCTTCCTACTCGGACTCCCACAGGAACGAAACACAGGATGTGGGTGAGCCGTGCCACACCTGCCGGCTGTGAAGCGTTCCTCAATGACAACTCCTGCTCCCGTTCAGCACCTTCCGGTGGGGCCCCCCACACCGCTGAGGAACTAGATCAATCTCCTGAGCCTGACCTACTTGGTGGATGATCAGCGAGGACCACCTTTCAGGCTGCGCCCCTGCTGAGCCAAGGATGCAGCCCAGCAGCCCGCCTGCAACACAGCGCTCTCAGGAGCTCAACTTCTTAAAGGGAAAGCACAGGCACAGAAAGACGCACTAACCACTATTAGCCACAGGCACAGAATTTTTGAAAATCAAAGAGATACAGGTTCAGCCTAGACAAGTTTTTATCTTTTCCCGGGGTCAAGATTTACACTATACTTTCCCCTAAATATCACTCCAGATTTTTAATATTTCTGAAGAATTTAGTTTAACATCACAAATGGCAAATACTGATATTCATCAAGGATCACACCCTTTGAAATCCCGAATTCTCACATCTAATTGCTCCAGGGCAAGAGGGTGAGGACACATGTACACACATCACACTGCCCACCTCAGTGTAAGAGGGGAAGCCACAGGCAACGACTTCCCAAACGCACCACAGCCAAGGACCTTCAAATCTGTATTATAAAGCATTTTCTTAATACAACACAGCAGAGCAGGATGGGAGAGCTGAACAACAATCCCTCTACCTGCCCACCCACATCACTTTGCAAAATTCCAACAGCAAGATAAAGAAAGCACCTGGATCGAGATGCAAATATAAGTTCACATAAAAAGGCATGTAAAAGTTAACTAAAATTGAGTTAATATTATCTTATAATTCATCAAATTAAAGCAAGTAGAATATCAGGTCATTTCTGATCTTCACTATATCAAGGTTAGAATAAAAAATAAAACTATGCTGAGAGGTAAATACTTCGTATCAAAGTGGTGAGGAAGGTAGACTAAAGAATATCTTTTTCTTACCGATTTCTGAAGACATAGTTTCCTGATTTGCTTCATTATTTAATCCAGACACTATGGGATCTAAAATTTTAGCTGAAATTATTATCTTCCTTTCTTCCTGACATAAAATAGTTAGCAACAGATTAAAACATTGCTGAGGTTTTTCTGTGCGGTGCTCAGGCCGGGACCCACAGGGGTTTATGCCAGGCTCACACGAACTCACCCCCTCCAGGGTTGCAGGATGCCCCCTGCCGCCACTCCCCCTACCCTGCCCCCACCCCACGTGCTGGACCACCCCTCCCTGTGGGTCCTGGTGGGCTCTGGAGCTCCCTCTCTTGATCCCCACGCTCCCCTATGCTAATCTCACGTGGGTCTCCACGGGATGGCAGGAAAGAGCACCACGCAAAACCCCCGACTTCTCTGACTTTACCTTCAGTCACCCGGGCCCCCTGAGCCGCAGGCCTACAGCCCCACCGCTGTCCTGACACACTGCCAGGCTGCGTGGCAGGCACCTCAAACTTGACGTGTTGAAAACAGAATTGCTGGCACTGCCACACATCCCACCAACTAGCTTCTCCCACAGCCTTGCTGCTTCAGCAACAGCACCATGTGGGTGCCCAGAGCCCTCCCCACCGACCTTCTCCCTGTGCCCTCTCCGGTTAACAAGCGCCACCCAGTCAGCCCGCAGACCTGTCATCCCTTCCACCCAACACATCCTACACCCAATCTGTCCTCGCCAGTGACACTCACTCAGGTCCGGCCGGCAGTCTCCCCTGGACACCTACCTGCCGTCTGGCCTCTATACTAGCCTCTCTCCACTTTGAAAAGGAGATGCTTCTAAACCGAAGTCCCATCAGGCCTCTGTCCTGCCTAACGCCCGCCACGGACTTCTACTCACACTCACTGTAAAGCGCTCGGCCCAACACCTCGGGCCTGCCTCTGCGTGCAGTCTCTTCTGACCCCTCGCCTCCCGCCCGGCCTCACAGCCAGGCTCCCGCCACTCAAACAGGCAAGCCTGTCCCCAGCACAGGGCCCAGCATATCCCCTGCCTATCCCTGGACACCAGCATGTCCTCCTCCACCCTCGTCAACTCTGCCCAGACGTCCCCTCCTCAGAGCCTCTCTGCCTACACACCCACCCCTACCATGCCCACCTCTCTCGGCTACATTTGTCCTCAGAAGACTCACCACTACCATGAATGTGTACACCCTGTGTTCTCTCCATGATCTGCCTGCCCCTCCACATTATACGCCCCAGAGGGCAAGGACTCCATAAACTTCCACAGAACAAAGAAAAGAAGACTCAAGTGGACAATCCCAGCCCGTGACTGATTTATGGTAGGAACGCCGCGGTGGTTGGGGTGGGCCCGCAGCTCAGTGGGCAGGGCTTACACGCGCTTCTGCCCCACTCCACTCTGGGGCCCGGGCCCCGGGTCCAGCAGGGCCCCACCCACAGGGTTCCACCGGCTTGGTGGTCAAAGGGTCCAATTCCCCAACATGCACAGCCTCCACTAGGGCCTGCTTCGTCTTACCGAGCTGTTTCACGGCATGCTCCTTCTTAGCTTTACTGTAGGAAGAGTTATGTTCAAGGGAAACACTATTTTCACTGGTTCTAGAGTCCCTTCTTCCTGATACAAAATTGCATAATGAAAGTACATATTAAACTTAATTGTAATGCTGCATAGTATATTCACTATAGTGTACTATTCTGCTATAACATGCTACTTAACAATAAGCAAAAATTATCATATTCTTATGAGAAATGTGGTGGTTTTTTTTTTTTTTGTATTCTATACAGATTCTAGAATAGCTTTAAAATTCTAAATAAAAAAATAAAATAAAATTCTAAATATGTTTGGGACGCCTGGGTGGCTCAGTGGTTGAGCGTCGGCCTTTGGCTCTGGGCATTGAGTCCCACGTCAGGCTCCCTGCATGGAGCCTGCTTCTCCCTCTGCCTGTGTCTCTGCCTTTCTCTCTGTCTCTCATGAATAAATAAATAAAATCTTTAAAAAAAATTCTAAATATGTTTAACAAGCATGACACCCCACACTCCAATAAATGCTAGGCTTATTCTCTCAAGCAGAACATAGAGGTCTTATGCCTCTGATACCTCCTGGATGCTGGACATTTGCCCAAATGCAACCCATTTAAGTGAGGAGGAATATTAGGGTGAGGATGCACAGTGAAGTTCACGCCCAGCTAGCAGACAGGGAAGGAAAGAGTCCATCAGCCTGTTGACGGCTCAGTAAAGCTTAGTATCATAAAACCTGCATATCTCTGGTGATCATAGCTCTTAGAGAGCACCAGTAAACTCAGATGCACATGCCCCGAGTTATTAGAAAAGGAGACAATAACAACTGTCAGCTTAAACAAAAAAAAACAAAAAACAAAAAACCACAATTCCACACAAGAACTAAGGGCTAAAACTGAACATGAGGCCAGGTTTGCGGTGCAGGTACCACAGTCCATGACACTTCTATACTCCAACGATCATCACTAGGAAACAGGGAGGGGAAAGAAGATGCCATTTCTAAACCAACTAAAAACAAGCTATCATAGGCTGTGGCTAACAGACATAGCCCAGCACATGCAGACATATCCTTTGGGGAGAAGGGAGGGACACCCACACTAACTTGGAATCAGAAGCATCCAATCTTCCCCAAATCACAAAAGCGTAAGTTTAACACAAGTCCAACTCAATCCTGATCAATTAATTAGTTCTGTTTGTGGGAAGCAAGATTCTTGACTCAATGGTCTTAAAATAATCTGTAAAGATAAGCACACGAAATGGCTTAAAATTAGTAATTCTGGAACACCTGGTGAGTTACTCTGGAAAAAATAACCTCACTTCACAACAGGAATTAAAATAAGAAATAACTAAATAGATTATATATGAAAATGCATGACAAAATACAAATCTTCATCTCCCAAATCTCTGGACAAACTACCAAAAAAACAAAAAAAAAAAGGCTGGCTGCTTCCAGCGCACAAAAATTAAACACTCAGGCAAGTCAGGAACTAAACATAATGAGTAGAAATAAACTGGAAAACAAACACTTACTTAAAAATTGGCAGATGTCCTGAGTGTATAGCGAGCGTGTGTAAATTAGGGACAACACTGCAACTGCCATCACAGCGATGCGGAATCCCCGCCAAGAAAAGACGAGCCCAAGAAGTCAACAAAATCACTAACACACACAAAAACGTGCAATTTCACTAGCAATTAAAAAGAGAGAGCGCTGTTCATTTTTCAGCTCCCCAAATCAGCAAGCCTTGGGAACCCCGGAGGAGGCGGAGGGCAGGGGTACAGTGCACCCTGCAGTCACACCGCAAACGGCCCTGCCCTCTGTGCCGGGGCCCGTCTGGAGCCTATCCCAGGAGATTGCCAACAGAGGGAAAAGCTGCTGGAGCAAAGATGCTCATTAAAGCAGCACGTATATTATGAAAGGGGGGCTTTCTTTACATGTCTGTGTAAGTCCTGGATGAAGAATTCCAGCTACGGCAGCCCCGCCACACCGCTTCAACTTTTACAACTTAGGAAAAGGATGGGTTTTCAGGCACTACCACTGCTCAAAGTGACTTCCCACTTCACCTGAAAACTGCAACACGACCAGCCCCCAGCAGCTCCCATCTGCAGGGCACGGACGTGCTTCCCCACTTCCCGCCCTGGCAGACCCAGGCGCTCCCCTTGGGCAAACCCCCGGCCACGCCTGTTTGCTTCAACTTCAGTTCCTAATAGCAAGATTCCCAGGGATCATTTCTGCCGATTTTTAAATGCATGAACATGCCCTAAGAGCAGGCAGGATGCTCTTGCTGGCCACTCTGTGTCTGGATTAAATGACAAGAGTCAGTAAAATGTGGGTGGGTGGCTGATAACCATTTCTGGAAAACTAAAGTTCAATCGCATCTTTTAGGTTGCAACAGATCTCCAGCAAAGAGGTGCTACTCTGCTGCTGGGGTCATGGGCTCACACATGCGTGGGGGGAGGGCAGAAGGGAGGGAGAGAGGGAGACGGAAAAAGAAAGGGAGGGGGGGGGGGAGAGGGGGGAGTGGGGGGAGAGAGGAAGAGGGAGAGAGAGAGAGAGAGATTTTCATCCTTTTCACAGTCTTTGTTTATTCCCCCCAACAGATCTACTAGATTATGATTAATATCAATTACGATTAATATCAATCATAAGTATTAATACATGATTAATATCCATATTTTCAGTTACTTATATGATAAATTTGCAGTACCTTCCATTGAATTTTTGGATCGCCGTTTTGATGCTTTTGTTGTCACTGACCTGGATGCTCTGGCGGAAATCTCGGTCTTAAAGAAAACGGAAAAAGAATTAGTTGATGCATGACCCAGCAATGCCTTGAGCAGATTTACTAGTCCAGCTCTTCTCAGTGACGAACAAGGAGGACACAGAACAGCACCACCAGGTGCTTTAATGGGAAACGGATACCAACTCGGCACAACTCAGCACCCTGGACCTGAGGGTGAATTAGAGACCGCTCGGGCCTTCTTCACTCTAAAATCAGAAATCCATCTTTCTGCGAAGCTCTCAAAAGGCCAGCAATCCGCCAACCACACTGAGAAGCACTGTCTTACCGGGTGTGTTTATGAGGACTCCATCTCTGCTGCTTTGTGCTAAGTACTCACATGCATCTGTGACAGCGCTGAGGGCAAACGTACATGTGCTTCAACAGAGCACACACCAGCCATTAGGTTTTGCTCAGCCTGCCATGATGACCTCCTAACTGGCCTCCCAGCCTCCACGCCACTCCTCATCCATCTTCCCTGTAGCTGCCTGGACATGTTTTCTGAAATCCAAAGTCCATTAGCAAAGTTGTGCTGAGTCTAACCTCGGTGGCCTGGGGGCAGGGAAATGATGTGGCCCAGCCTCAGCTGTGCCCCACCCCCAAGACACGCACCATGGGCCCCCCACAGGCTGAGCAGAGCTCAGAGGGATCTCTCCGGCACCCCTGCTGTCCCAGCCAGCCTGGAGACCAAATCCTCTCCCAGACTCATCTGAAGCACCACCTGGACACGCTCCCAAATGACCTCCCATCCCTTTGTACCCCATACGTCATACCTGTCAAACAAGTGTATACAGAAAGCCCAGAGCCCGGCATGGAAACCCGAGGTCATGTGGGAGCCTGTGCCACATCCCCACCCCCGGGCTCTCCATGGACTAGAAGAAACCACAGCATGGAAGTCACATCAACCCAGCCATGGGTTTACATCTCTTGAAACTATTTTTCAAAGTTTACCTCTGCTTCAACTTTGGAGTCTTTCACGGATCCATCTGACAACTTTTTAGCCATCTCCCCCGAACTTGAGGACTGCAAAAAAAAAAAAAAAAAAAAAAAAAATTGATCATATTCCAGAATTATTCAAATTTGTTACATCTAAAAACATGTCAAGATGCAAGGTGTTTCTTGTTGAGCAGCAGCAAGATCACCCTTCCCATCCATACCACTCCAGGCCTATCTGCGGCAGGAACGCAGCCCGCAACCCCCCAGGGCCGTCCAGATCATCCCCTGTGGAGCAGACTAGGGCAGAAGGGGAGCTATGGAACAGTGTCTCCCAGACACGTGGGATCCGCACCCCAGGCCAAACCTCTCGGAAACACCCCAGTGAAACACAGGGAATCTGGAAATAGGGGAAGAAGTGAATGACAGAGACCACCAGCCACCATGGAAGGGGGGAGCAACTTTCCAATGAACGGTTCTTCTCAAGCAAAGCTTTCAGACTCCACAGCAGGAAATATTCTCGAAGTGAAGTACAGGAAACCTGCAAACACCAGCTCACAGCTACAATCCAGTCTCTAACCCACACATCTAGACATACGGACTAGAAAAGATGAGGCCACGGACACTTTGCGCCATGAAGACTGGAAAGCAAGGGATGACTGTTGAGTTCAACCGTGACGCATCTCCATAGCTTCCTGCTGGAAGCCCCTGGCTCTGCACGCAGCTCCTCGCCTCCCCCCCACCCCGCCCACCCTGCCAGCCCCTAAGGGTGAGCACTGCACCCACTGCCCTGACAGCTGGTCTTCACCGCCACACCCGAAGCTCTGGACACACCTACTACTTCACCTTCTCTTCACACACAGCCTGAGAGGGGGCGAGAAGGTCTCAGCATCGTCTGTTTCAGACACGATCAAACGGAGGAGAGCCATGGGATCTGACGCAGGGGGAAGACCCACACGGCTGGGTCAGAACAGTCTCCTGGGAGACGTCCCATAGGGGTGTCCTCGCCGCCGGCAAGAGCCGCCCCACAGAGGAGCCCCAGATTTACACCAGGGGAGCCGGCCTCACAAAACCACCACGAAAGATCTACGGAGAACCGACTTCGGGAGAATGTGGATCTGCGCTGAGCAGAGGCACAGGCCCTGCGCCCTGGCCTCACACACTCGAAGCCGAGCCCACGGAACCCCCTACAAAAACTTCTTTGGAATTGGCTTTCTATTTAAGACCCTCCTCACAGCATCAGCAACTCTGGTCAATGTAATGTGTGGAAAACCACCTGAAGACCCGGAGGACTGAGGCCTTCCCACTCGGGGGCGGCCCCACGCTAGGAAAACATATGAGAGCATGCTACTGCCTCAGAAAAATCACATCAGCAAGAAACACCTTTCCTTAGACTCTACAAAAAGGCAAAAGATGAGGGATGCCTTTGTTATTTCTAAAACTCCTGAGGGAAGCCTGGTTTTCATGACATGACCTCACAGGGTCCATTACTCCGGGGCTCTCTACGCATCAGCCCCGTGGGCCCATCATCACCCAGTACTGGGATGCACCCCGGGATGCAATGCCAGACAGCCAGGAGCACGAGCCACACACGCCAGCGCAGGCCTCACCCCTCACCATGCTGCTGTGTCACATGGCAGATCTTGAACCTTTCCAGACCTCGGCTCCCTCCTTCCTACGGGCTGGACACCAGACTTCCACAACCTTCTGGGGACACCTGACAAGATGCTGTGCCCGAGAGAACAGGCAGGTGCGATGCGATGCCAGCCCTGACGGAGCCCTGCAGCACCTATGCTGAACCCAAAAGCAACTTGCACATTTAGGAAACACGGAAACCAAACACATTTTCTGGACAATCGTAAATCTACTTGAAAATTCAATTAAATAAAAATTACAGTCAGAGGTCCTGTACGTATCCACTGATGCCTACGAGACCAAAGCACAATCCTTCAGAAATTCAGCCAGGCCCACGGGCATGGCCACGTATACGCACCTGCCCACCACCATGGCGCATGTAAGGACGGCTCACGCAGCCATGGTGTGGGCCCGGCTCCAAGAAGCATTCACACAAAAAAATAAAAATAAAAAAAGAATTAAAAAAAAAAAAAAGAAGCATCCAACATGCACACGCAGCCAAAGGTGAAAGCAGTACACCTCAGAGCCCCAGCATCCACTGGTGTCCGTGTGGGTTTCCACTGGGAAGGCGCGAGTGTCCTAACCCACCGTGTGCTGGGTCCCCACCACGCCTGACAAAGGAACCACTGTAGAGAACACCAAAACTCTTCTCAAAGACAGAGATCGTCAAGCAGGACTTTACCTTCTTCTCTGGCTTGTCGGGCTCTCTGCTCTTTTCCCGGTCGGGCTCCCGGGAGTGCTCCCCGTCCTTCACCTTCCGTCTGTCCCTGTCCCTGTCCCGGTCCTTGTCTCGCTCACGCTCCCTCTCTCGGTCTTTCCACTTCTCTTTCTCCTTCCCTCCCTCGTTCCTCCTCTCCCTGTCACGGTCTGGATCCCTGTCCCGGTCTCTGTTGCCTCGGTCTCTGTCCTGCTTGGCCCGGCTCCTGGCTCGCTCTCGCTCCCCTTCGCGGTGCTTGTCTCGCTCAGGATCTTTATGTCTATCATGGTCACTCTCCTTTGTCTTCTCCTTCTCCTTGTCCTTCTCTCTTGCTTTGCTTTCTTCCTTCACTTCTTTCTGTTTTTGATCTCTACTTGTACTTCTCTCATTTATTTCAGAGTTCCTTTTATTCTGGAAAAAAGGTCAGACAACAATATCACTTATAAATGTCTTTACCTGTGCTATGAACAGACTCATCACTTCATTTTCAAATATGCACAACTTGCAATTCACCTCTTTATCTTTATGAACTCTGGGCTCTTCTTCTCGCGCATTCTTGTTGTCTAATTCCTGAGATTTTGACGTCAGGGAGGTCTTTCCTTTCAGATCACCCCTCTCTCCAGCTAACACCCTCTTCACCGCCTCATCGCTGGGGAGCTTGCAGTCCGAATGGGAGGAAATGAAACACAAGGTAAAAACGAGATCAGCACAGGTGACAGACGCGAGCATCCGCATTCAAAGACAGTTCACTAAACACGGGAAACATGTGGACATGAGTCAAAGGATAAAACATTCAAAGGAAATGCTGTTATCGCCAAGTGGAGCATCTCTTGATAGCTGTCACCTCCAGCACTTCAGATGGGAACAGCAGAGTCAACCCAAGCCAAGTGAATCCCACCTCAATCCACTTGAGCTGTCAAGTGTGGGCGTGTGCGTGGTTCAAGGACAACAAAGCTGCCGTGCATGACTCCACAAGTGCCTTACACATCTCACAGGATCATGGAGGCCCGGCACTGAAAGGGCCTTACACAATGATCTACCTCAAGCTCTATCAAAAGCAAAAAGCCTCTCAAATGCAGCATCCCACGACTTGGTGCCGGAGCTTTGCACACCCCCGGGCAGGAATCCCACCCGCTCACACACTTGCTCGTTCCACAGGATGCACTGAGTGACCATCACACTGAAGGCACCAGACCACAGGCTGACCCTGCTGGGGACTGGGGGGAGGTGCCAAATGCTACAGTTGAACAGCAGGGTGCCTAAGCCAGGCCGGGAGAGAGGGAAAAGCCAGGGCTCTGGGGACAGCAACCAATCCCACACTGCTGCCACAGAAATGAGGGAGCATCGCCAGTGCAAAGGGCCTCAGGGTGCAGGCAGGGGTGCGGGAGCTGAGCGGGACCTGGAGGGGAGGGAGCAGCAGGTCTTGAGAACCCTTGTGAGCCATGCCACGGAGCAGGCTGTGCCCAGAGGCAACAGGAACCTGGCAAAGGATTCAGCAGGGAGGACAGGAATCAAATGTGTTTTGAAAGAGAAATAACAGGAAGGATGCAATGGTGGGGACCAGGGAGAGAAACCAGGGCACTGGCAAAATCAGCTGTATGCCTCCAAGCCTAAGATTTGGATGCAGGCCAGGGTGAGACACTCCCAAGGCCTCCTTGGAGCCACCACCTCCCACCCTCACCCCTGCTACGTGGGCAGAAATCCAGCCTCTTTCCCCAGCCCACAACCCACCAGGTAGGTGAAGGGCTGTATGAGTTATGCCCTCTCCCTTCAGGGCAACTTGGCTCCCACAAGGAAGAAAGGCCCTGAAGATGCCCTGGTGCCATCACCAAGCAGAGCTGTCCTCCAGCGTCTCTAGCGAGGACATTCTGGGCTGGACCTAAGCAGGGAGGCCAAGTTTCCAACCCACAATGAGGATCTCAGAAAGTAGCGAATCAGTCCCTGTCCAAGTGACACAGGAAAGCAGCACAACTCTGCTATCCACAGCCAGGATGGAAAGAGGAACGGAAGGACAGAGCGTGGGGGAGGGAGGGATGGAAGGAGGGAAGCAGACACAGAAGGCTGGAAAGGCAGGCAGACAACAGGAGCCTCCCATAAGCTGGGAAGAAGAAGAAGAACAGCAGGTCCTCCTGCCTCTAAGACCCTGCCCGAAAAGGAGGCCCGAAAGGAGAAGGCAGGCAGGGCTTGGCTGCCTGGGCACGTAGCCTCCACCCCCTGCCCCAAGAGCACGTGTCTGGGAGGTTCCCACATTCATACTTAACACCTGAAAACCTCGTGCATGGCATACCTTTGTTTCACTGAATAATTCTTTGGGATTGATTGATTTAAAGATTTTATTTACTTATTTGACACAGAGAGAGTGTGTACAAGCAGGGGGAGCAGCAGGGAGAGGAGAGGGAGAAGGAGACTCCCGACTGAGCAGAGAACCCCAGGCAGGACTCAATCCCAGGACCCTGGGATCATGACCCGAGCAGAAGGCAGACACTTCGCCGCCTCAGCCACCCAGGAGCCCCTTCCTTGTATACTTCTACTTCACTCCTCCTGGAACTCTGAGGCTCCAAAGCCCAGGTTTGCCAGACACCAGCAAATTCCTTCCCGATACTGCCCACTACCCTGTGGTCGCCCACCACCCCGGCCGTGTCTTTCAGGACTAAACTCTGAGCCTCCACGTTACCTTGCTGAGACAGCATTTTCCAATTCTCTGGAGCAGCTCGTTTGTTCTTTCAGGCTCGTGCCCGGCCACGATGCGCACTGGTTTTGCTGACAGTGGCTCTCCTGAAACCATCACCACCACGTCTATGGCCTTCTGAAGGAAGCTAATTTTTGCATCTTTATCCTGAAAGATTCCCATTTAAAATACAAATAAAAAGCACTTCCAAAAACGTTTCCCTCATCTTTGGTATGCTCAACAGGCACAGTTACTATTTATGTCACGTCAAATTGGGAATACTAACTGTGTAACAACAACAACAAAAAAAACAATTAAAGCTTTTTGTTGTTGTTGTTCTAAAAATTTATTTATTTATTCATGAGAGACACACACTGAGAGAGAGGCAGAGACACAGGCAGAGGGAAAAGCAGGCTCCTTGCAGGGAGCCTGATGTGGGACTCAATCTCGGGGCCCCAGGATCACGACCTGAGCCAAAGGCAGGTGCCCAACCACTGAGCCACCCAGGCGTCCCTAATTAAAGCTTTTAATTTTAGCTGGTAGGCTAGCAGTTACCTTTAAAACGCTAGTTCCATTTCTTAGTGGATAAAATTAGCAAATATGCAGTTGGCAAAAATAAGAAAATGAAATGAGAAAGGGTATACTGCAATTCATGAATTAATCCACCTTGTACTTCAACATGCATCAGGATATAAATGACATACCCCGGGTTCCCAGCTTACAAAAACCCCACTTTGCTAGGGTGAGGGGTGCCCCCCAGCCTACCTTAACGTTGTCAGACTTCATCTCCGCGTCTGTGTAGAGGCCCTTCATGAAACCGGTCATCCTAATCACCTTCAAGAGACCAAGGCCGTGGTCAGCACCTCCCAGGACAGCCTCTCCATCAGCCTTGCCCCCGAGCCCTGGAACCCCACGCTGCCAGGAGCTGTCGGGTCTGCTCACAGCCAGGATTTCATTCCTTCACTTACTGCACAAGCTTCTGAGTGTCTGCGATACGCCAGGCCTTTCCCCAGGCGGAATCCAGCCTGGACGTGGGGACGGGGAAACATCTTGCAGGGTGCCAAGTGAGCACGGGATGACTCCCTAATCCAAGCGCAGGAGGGGTGCAGGTGTCAGGGAAAGTTTCCCAGAAGACATCATATATCCGTTGACACCACAGGCCGACAGGAGAACAGGATTGGGCGGGGGGTGGGGGGGGTGCTTAGGACACAGGAGCCAGGCTAAACAGCCCCTGCAGGGGCCTGAGCCAAGAGGGTCCCATTCAAGGGAGCAAAAGTTCAGGGCAGGAGGAGCCTGAGGCCGGAGTCGGGTGGGGCCTGAGACCCAGATGGCCTCGGAAGCCACTCAGGAGTACGGACTTTAGCCTAAGGATCACGAGGAGGCCCTGACAGGTTCCACGGCTGGGCGACAGCATTTTACAAGGGGCACTCAGGCCCCGTGGAGAGAATGGATTCTGGAAAGAATAGCAATTCCTCAGCTTGCGTTTCTGAACATGGACAGAAAGGTCTTTCTCCTCAGTCACGTCCTACAACAGGGGGGTGCTCTGTGCAATGTCACTTCTGTCCCTTTCCTGCCCGTCCCTCTCAGTAAACCTGTAGCTCCTCATTACCCTGAACCAGCGTTAGGGGTGGTGACTCTCCCTCTTCCTCCCTGCACCCACACAGCCAGGCTCCTCGTTCTCTAGGACCAGAATTTTTCAAAAGGCAAGAATTCACTGTAAAAATCAACATAATGGGTGGCAATAAGCATTTTTTTTCCAAAAAATCAAACAAAACAAAATGTTAGCTGCATTGCATGTAGGAAGCGTGAACGTGTGTATGTCCTGGGTGGACAGAAAGCATATGTACTAGTGCAAGACTCGTCTGTTAGAAAAAAGTCCCACGCTAACATCAGGCTATTTCTCTGAGACCAAGCCACACCTCCCTATTAATTAAGCTGGCTCTCATTCCTCAACAACTACCTAAGAGCTGTGTATTCTTTTTTCCCGAAAAGACAAATATAATATTAAGGGTATCCTGTACTTGATATCCCTAGAGCCTTTCATTTTGTCTCTTCTGAGGTTTTCCTATTTTGCTGGCAGTTAAAATTGTGAACAATATTTTTAAGGGACAAGAAACATTAACCTTACAAGGCCAATGCTTTGATTTATGAAAGACAGCTAGTTTAGCTGTAACTAAATTACTGATATGGTGACTTGAACACAATACTCAGAGAGAGTTAAGAATTTTCAGGAAGCTCTTCATCTCTTACCGGAAAATGCTTTTCAATATGTCATTCTCATATCCCTAACAAAAGGTGACAGTTGACGCATTTACCTTTACACAGGCAGAGAAATTAATTTCAGCATTAGATTTGGGAAAAGAAAAAAAAAAACATGAAAGAAAAGCAGACCACTGGCCCCTGATTGGGAACGTGTGACTGCTTCCACGCAGCCTGGTGACCTGGCCAACCAAGTCAATTCCTGCTTGAATGTCCCTCCTCCTTCCCCATTCCGAGGCACTCCAACCTTCCAGGAGCCCAGCGCCAAGCCAAGCCCAAAAGAATGAGGCATATCCCCCTGTCTCCTCCCTGGCTCGCCACAGGACTAACACAGAAGGTAAAAGGGTGAGAGTACGGTGGCACCTGCCGTGGTCGGGCGGGCTCACCTCCTGGCTAACGCACTTCTTCCCTTCTGGGTTAGGGGACACTACCTGCCTACTTCACTGGGTAATGCAGCACATGTCTCTGTGCCATGTCCCTTCCCCCAAACACCACGTAGGGCAGGCGAAGTGTTGCCCCAGCTAGAAGAGGAGGGGGCAGCTAGACAGACAGCCTGGGATGTGGGTGGGATTCCAGAGAGTTCTAAGCACAATTAGGGTTTTTAACACAGACGCACACATTATAAACCATGTTGAGATAGCAAATGAGTAAAGCAAAGTTAGTGGAGAATAATACACCCAACCTATTGGAAAGAGTAAGAGAGGAGGTTGGAGGACCCATAGGGGGTGCCCTCGGAAGTCTGCAAGTTCTTTTTTTTTTTTTAAAGATTTTACTTATCCATTCAAGACAGACACACAGAGAGAGAGAGGCAGAGACACAGGCAGAGGGAGAAGTAGGCTCCATGCAGGGAGCCCGACACAAAACTCGAACCCAGGACTCCAGGATCATGCCCTGGGCCAAAGGCAGGTGCTAAACCGCTGCGCCACCCAGGGATCCCCAAGAAGTCTGCAAGTTCCACCTGATTCCTAACTCCCAAAGCCCACGCCCAAGTTCCTGAGTTCAATACCCTTCTTAGGGGCACCATGGAAATGAGTTACCAGGAGCCTAGATGGCCTCAATCAACAACGAATGTTTGTGCTGCACCTTCCGTGCATCTTCCCAGATCAGCTCACCCAGGATATGGCAACAAACAAGTACGGTCTCCATCACAAGGCAATTCACCCCCTGGGGAAAAGCCACAGACAACCAATCTCAACGGAGGTCAGGCTGTGCAACTTCACCCGCCAATACCAACCTGCTCTTTGATAGTTTCCCCTTTTGGGTCCCACTACAACCACTTTCAATAAATTTACCCACAAGTACTTTATGAAGCATCCAAAATGTGGTGCAGACTCGCGTGGGCATAAGCTTGGGGGACATGAGGACTTAAAAAAAAAAAAAGAATTCTCCAACCATTTCTGATCCCCTTTCACGAGCTTGGCACTGGCAGTGGTGGGGGGGGGGGGCGTCATAGAAACAACTGCCAGGCAGGGTGGAAGAGTCCTAACAGATACTGGGGGAGTCGGGAAAAAAAGAATGGTCCCAGAAGGGCCGGAGGAGAGCGGCGGCGAGGACAAGGAGCCCATGCAGGGGGACCTCCGAGCAAGGGGACCACCACCTTGGGCCCAGGGGCTGCGCTAGGCTACGGGAGGTCGGACTCTGACGCCAGCCCTGATTCCGGCCCCGACCTCTACCTTGTCCCAGACCTGGCCAGGCCTAAGCCCCACACCTAGGCCCCAACCATCACCTGGGCCCTGACCATCTCCTGGGCCCCGACCATCACATGGGCCCTGACCATCACCTGGGGCCCAACCTCTACCTGGTCCTGCACCTGGCCAGGCCTGAGCCCCTCACCTGGGGCACGACCATCACCTGGGCCCTGACCATCTCCTGGGCCCCGACCATCACCTGGGCCCTGACCATCTCCCCGACCTCTGGTCCCGGACCTGGCCAGGCCTAAGTCCCACACCTGGACCCCGACCATCTCCTGGGCCCCGACCATCTCCTGGGCCCCGACCACCGCCTGGGCCCTGACCATCTCCCCGACCTCTGGTCCCGGACCTGGCCAGGCCTAAGTCCCACACCTGGACCCCGACCATCTCCTGGGCCCTGACCATCTCCTGGGCCCCGACCACCCCCTGGGCCCGACCACCCCCTGGGCCCCAACCATCTCCTGGGCCCGACCACCCCCTGGGCCCGACCACCCCCTGGGCCCCGACCACCCCCGGGGCCCCGACCACCTCCTGGGCCCCGACCATCTCCTGGGCCCCGACCACCACCTGGGCCCGACCGTCTCCTGGGCCCCGACCGTCTCCTGGGCCCCGACCGTCTCCTGGGCCCCGACCGTCTCCTGGGTCCGACCATCACCTGGGCCCCGACCATCACCTGGGCCCCGACCATCTCCTGGGCCCCGACCACCACCTGGGCCCCGACCATCACCTGGGCCCCGACCACCACCTGGGCCCCGACCACCACCTGGGCCCCGACCACCACCTGGGCCCCGACCATCTCCTGGGCCCCGACCACCACCTGGGCCCCGACCACCCCCTGGGCCCCGACCGTCTCCTGGGCCCCGACCCCAGGCCCGCACCGGGGCCCGCGACGTCCGCCTCGCACCCCAGCCCGCACCCCGACCCGGCCCGCCCACCTCCGTGATGATGTCGTGCAGGTAGCGGAACGGGGGCTTGCTCAGCAGCTTCTCCGTCAGCGGCGGCCTCCGGATCACCTTCCCCAGGGCCTCCTGCGTCCGCTTCACCACCGCGGCGTTCATGGCGGCGCCGCCCGCGCCCCGCGCCCCCGCGCCCCCGCCGGCCGAGCCTAAGCCGCGCTCCCGGGACGCCGCCGGCCCCGCCGCCGCCGCCCGCTCCCGCCCCGCCGCGCCGCTCGGGCTCCCATCCCACAGTGCACCGGCGGCGGCCACGGCGCGTGCGCGGGGCGGAGGGCGCCGTCGTCAGGGCGGCGCGGCCCTAGCAACGGACGCGCCGCGCGGCCCCGCCCCGCCCCTGCGCGCGGCGCCTGCTGGGAGAGGGCTGGACCACACGTCCCGCGGGCGCCTAGCAACCAGGACAAGCCACGCCCCGGCTCCATCCGCGGAAGGCCCGCCAGCAGCCTGGAGGCTTTGTGATGTTTCTAGTTCAATTCTAATGAAAAGATGCACATGGCAGCTACAGTTTTAAAGCTTTTTTTTTTTTTATTGACACGTAATTGACATATAGAACATTAGCTTTCGACCTTTGTATATCCTGCAAAACGATGAGCACAAGTCTACTAGATACCCGCCACCGTAGTTGCTAAAAGTTTTTATTGTGATGAGAACCTTTAAGATGTGCTCTTCTTAGCAACTTCCAATATGTAACACAAAGTTGTTGGCCATAGTCGCCATGCTGCCCATCCTGTTCCGTGACTTCCTACAACTGGAAATTTGCACCTTTTGACCTCTTTTATCCTCTCGCGTTCTTGTAATAGTATCTTTATAACTTTCATTTACATTTATTTTATTTATTTATTTTTTTGCCATTTTCAATGCTCTTCATTCTTTGCATGGACTCAGATTTCCATGGGGTATCACATTCCTCCTGTCTGAAGAACTTCCTTTACTATTTCTTTTTGCAAAGGTCAGCTGGCAAGGCGCGCTGTCACCTTCCCTTTGTCTGAAAGCGTTTATCACACTTTCACTTTTGAAAGATTGTTTCACGTTGTATGCAAGCTGAGTTAACTTTTTTTTTTCCCAGTACTTCATGGATTTTATTCCACTGGCGTCTGGATTACACAAAGTCGGCTCTAGTCCTCTCTATGTATCTGGCTGCCTTCAAGATTTTCTCTTATCGTTGGTTTTTATGAATTTGCCCATGGTGTATCTAGGTGTGGGACTTCTTCTTTTTTTAATTTTTATTTATTTATCATAGTCACACACAGAGAGAGAGAGAGAGGGAGAGAGAGAGGCAGAGACACAGGCAGAGGGAGAAGCAGGCTCCATGCACCAGGAGCCCGACATGGGATTCGATCCCAGGTCTCCAGGATCGCGCCCTGGGCCAAAGGCAGGCGCTAAACCGCTGCGCCACCCAGGGATCCCTAGGTGTGGGACTTCTTAAATTAAATTTTATATTTCATTATTATTTATGTGCAATAAGCATCACCTATTTTAAGTATACTGGTTGATGCATTTATGTTACTGCCACCACAATCATGATACAGAATAGTTCACGCTCCCTAAAATATTTCCTCTTGCTCATTTGCAATCTGTCTCCTCCGCCACCCCAGCCCCAAGCAACCAGTGATACACTTTCTGTCATTATAATTTTGCCTTTTCCAGAGTTTCATATAAATGGAATCATACAGTCCATGGTCTCTTGTGTTTAATTCTTTCTCTTAAAAGGATTCTGAAATTCATCTGTGCTGCTACCTACATGAATATGGCATTCCTTTTTGTAGCTGAGTAGTATTCTATAGCAGAATTTGTTTATCCATTTACCAGTTTATCAATATTTGGATTGCTTTTTGGGTTTTGATTATTTATGAATAACGCTGCAAAGAGCATTCACATACAAGTCTTTGTGCAAACATAGTTTTCCTTTTGTTGCAGGGCTGCAGGGTTCTTGTCTCACAGAGTCGAAGAGTGAATCTCATGGACACAAAAAGTTGAAGGGAAGTGAAAGTTTATTAAGTTAAGGTAAGAGCAGAAAGCAAAGCTCTCTAGAGTGAGAGGGTTCCTGAGGTGTTTTATTGAAAACTGACCAGGGAACTTGAATCTTCTTGACATCTCTACCACTGATAGCACCACGTTTACCCCTCCTTTGAAGTTTGGTAGCTTTTAGTGGTCAATCTGTAACTATCATAAAAATAACTTGTCTCTGACATTTAAGGCAAGTGAGGTGGTCTGGTTAGGTTCTCTTATCTCTGGTTCCTTATGCATTTTTCCACACTTGGGATTTCTGTTAGCCTGGGCGCACTGCCCCCTACCCATCTCTCCCTATAGCCCTGCCTGTCCCTTACTAACTTTCTCTTGAATGAATACCCAGGAGTGGAATTTTCAGGTCGTATGTTAAGAATATGTTTGATTTTACAAGATGCTACCAGATTTTCAAACTGGTGGTATCATCTTTCATTCCTACCAGCAATGTATGTGATTTCCAGTTGCTTCATATGCATGCCAAGACCTGATAGGTCAGTCTTTTTTCTTTTCTTTTCTTTATCTTTTTTCTTTTTTTTAGGTCATTCTTTTTAGCTGCAGTCATTCTAGTGGTGGTATAATACCTTATTATGGTTTTAATTTGCATTTCTCTAGTGATGTGTGAATTTGAACTCTTTTCATGTACGATTGGGATATTCACTGTGTTCGGTGAAGATAGCTCATAAAGAAGTGTCCAGGCGTTCAGTGAATCCCTGGTGTGTGCTGTGAAAAATAAGAAAAGGAAACATCGCCTACAATAGAGTCAGGAGGCCAGCAGGAGGAGCTCGCATTCCCAGCACTGGTTATCAACTGCAGATCCAACAGGAACAGAGGGACCTTGCACGCGGATATTATTTTATCCGCCCAGTGCAAGAAGAAAGGTTTCCTCCCCGCCAGGAGACAGCCCAGCCAACCAAAGACAGTCACAGCTCAGCCCGTGAGAAGCACTTCCAGCTCCCACTTTCCTTCAATGGACGTTTTGTTTATAACAGCTCCCAGGGGTGCCTGGGTGGCTCAGCGGTTGAACGTCTACCTTCAGCTCAGGGCCCCATCCCGGAGTCCTGGGATCAGGTCCCGCATCAGGCTCCCTGCGAGGAACCTGTTTTCCCTCTGTCTGTGCCTCTGTGTCTCTCGTGAATAAATAAATAAAATCTTAAAAAATAATAAATAACAGCCCCCCAATTCCCTCTTTCCTCTATAGAAAAGAATCTCTCTCCTTTGTTCTAGGGACTTGCCTATGGTATTGCTGGAGCTTGCTTGTCCTTGAATTCTCTGTTATTCCAGAATAAACCCATTTTTGCCACTAAAATAACAGACAATTTTATTTTTAAGGCTAGCAGTGCCGAGTACTGCCTAGGTGCTGGGGAATTCATGGAGAACTAGGTACCTTCTAGTAAGCAACATCTGTGTCATCGTCTGCAATCCCCTGCACCTGAGAACATCACTGTCCCTGCTGCTAGTTGTGTCCTGCACTGCATGAGTTTGGCCACCCAGACAGAGGTCAGGTGAGCCACCAGGGCTCACTTCCTTCCAGCGGTGCCAACCTCGCTCCTGCCCCTACCTCACCAGGCAGGCAGGCAGGCTGTCTGTCTGAGACTTTCCCCTGAGAAATTGAGGGGAAGGAATTTGACTACACTCACTATATAGAGCTATTCTGTGGTCCATGGGGGGAAAAGCACCCAGCAAATTGCACCCTCAGAAGTGTTCCCTCCTGAGTGGCCCTCAGTTACTAACCCTGCTCCCCAGCTTCCAAGTCTGGATCTACCCCCATGGTCAGAGCACTTCTGACCCCTGCCTTGTCAAATCTCCCTGACTTTCTAGAATCCCCACCATCTACATGTGTATCATCCCATGTACCCCCTTCCTTTCAGCACTGGGTGTTCCATTCCAGACTCATCCCAAGGAGGGGGCGGGACAGTCCCCTGGGACGTTTGGCCGTTCAGCCCCTTGGAATAGTCCAGGGTGGTGATGGACACTATGACTCAGTCTCCTTCCGGGGCTCCCAGATCTCCAACGTTCTCCTGATTGTCCACATGTTTATCTTTATCACACACGCGCACACACATACACATTCTGCTTCCCAAGAACAAATGTTCTCAAAAAGTTCATCCAACTCCTTGAAGAAGAATAGTTTCCATCTCCTTGAAGAAGAATAGTTTCCCAACTACGTCATCATTTCTGAACATCCCTGCCCACACTGCCACCAATACTTCATGTTCACGTGAACAGCAGGTTAGCCCCCTCTCTTCCCCTTCCTGCCGCTGCCCGGCGCCTCCACCGGCTTCCCGGAAAGTCTTCTCCCAGGGGGATGGGACATAGCGAGACTGTGTCCTTCTTCACGGCTGGGCCCTCGGCTCACAAAGGCTGGTCCAAAGCTCTGAAGAGGATGATTAAGCCTTTAGACAAAGATGCACCAGCTTCTGGCCCTGCAGCTGTTAGGGAGAGAGGGGGCGGCAGGACCGCCAGGTGGGGCCCACGAAGCCTTAGTGCCTGACAGCTGGAGTGTCCTGCCCGGACGCCTTCCTTGATGGGCTCCCCGAGGCTGAGCTGGGAGTGCAGGGGCTCCTGGGAGGAGTACCCACCCCTGGCTGGGCTGGCCTGAGTAAGGCGGGGGGCTCTGGGAGGTCACCGACCCTCGTCTGTGTCCTCAGGTGCCCTGCCTTCCCGACAGCCCTGCCCAGACCCCTGCCTCAAAAGTTCACACTAGATAGATTCCTCCTCCGGGCCCGGGGCCTTGGGATGGGCGTGAGCAGCAATGGCTTGTCTGTGAGGTTGGGTTGCCCAGAGCAGCGGGGACGGGTGTGGCCGCAGAGAGCCCTCTGGCCCTGAGGGTCCACTGAGCACCAGCCAGTGCCACAAGAGGGGAAAACCTGATGCTGGCCTCTCCCACAGCCGGCGGGGAGCAGGGGAGCCATGTAGGCCAAGGAGGCCCTGTGCAGGCCTTGCTGCTGCCTTTGGGACCAAGGGCCCTGAGAGAGGGTCTCTGAGAGGATGGGGACAAGGAAGCAGAGCCCCCAGGCCCCACTGCGAGCTTGTGTGAGGGAAGCAGGCCACAGGGTATGGGCGGTGGCCTCTGGGGACATGCTCCCGGTCACAAAATGCATCCTCCTGAGGC